TTTACAATATAGCGAATCCAGAAAAGCTCAGAATGGTTTCATGAATACAACAATTCAATAATATAATTGTCAATATAATCCAGAAAGATATCCAACAGGCATAAGAGATAAAACACACAATTTAAAACATGCAATTCATACATAAGCACACAGTACACATCCCCACAAGTAAGAACTACTTACTAACAAGGGCCCTAACACGGGTACAGTTCGTTTGGGCCTTTCATTGGAGCTTATAGCCGGAGAGGAACAATAGGGTCTTTAATAACAAAGTCCTTCCTTTTGACATATTTTTTGATAGAGTTATTCTTAGGGCCTTTAATAACAATTAACAAAGCTCTTCCTTTTGACATATTTTTTTGATAGAGTTATCTTCTAACTCTTGGTTGGTGTAATGTTTCAACCCCTTGATAGCTACTCTCTAAATGATCTTATTAAAGTTGGAAAGCTTTCTTGTAATTGCCTTTCTGACTTTTTTATATTTCATACCATCAATGAAATTTTTGTTTCTCAACCAAGACCCTAACATACTACTAAACTCGTCGAAAGATTCTCTAAATTAAAGACAACCAAGCTTGAGTTAGAAACTAACTAAAAAATACTTAATTTGTATCAAAACTACTTTTAGATGAGTTGTTACCTACTAACTCACACTAAAACTTCTTAGGTTAGGAGTGCGTCAACGCCGAGAAAGGTTTGGGCTCCCAAATCTGAGTTCGAATAACCTTAGGCTTGTTGGTCCGATGCCGAACAGTGATGGTTTTCGCCGGAACACCGCAGAAGCTCACTAGAATGGACTGAAACCGAGCCGCTGGAAGGCCACCGCCTAGGTCACTGTCGAAACTACTTCGAGCCGTCGACTGTGGGTGTTGGAGGACGCCGGCCGGAACACCACAGATCGACGCCAATCGAGGGAGGAGTGTCGGATTCGTTGCTGTGGCGCTACTGATGGTGAAGTCGCGCCGCCAGTCGCCGGGTTGTGATGAGTCGTGGAATGCTGGAGTGTCGCTGCCGTTTGTGGAGGGCTGCTACTCTCAGAGCGTCGCTGGTCGCCGCTGGTCCAAGGTCGCTGGAGAGATGGCCACTGAGAAGTACAAGGCGCTGCTGGAACAAAGAAGAAAGGGGGAGAGGGACCTAGTCCCTTTTTTTTTTTTGGAAATGGGATGTTTTTTTTTTTTAACTTTTTGATTACGTCTCTGTAAAATGATGACCATTGATCCCCAATTCCTCTCTTTTTTTTTTCCCTCAAATTTTCTCTCCCACAATTATTCTCTAATCTCTTCTTCTCCTCTCTTTCCATTTACATCATCTTACTTTAAAAAAAAATTATTCTTCTTAAAAAATATATATTTTAAAAAATTAAACTGAAGAAAATCGAACTCAGGCATGTTAAGGTAAACCACTAAAACAAATGTAACAAGGCCCAAGGCCCAAAAGGCTCAATATATGTCATGATTCAAATGGTATTGTAATCCAGGTCTCCGGTTGAACAATTTGAGTGAATTAGTAATACAATAATCACTTCAAGAAATTCAAGAATCGTGCACTGCTTTACATGGTATCAGAGCCTATACAGTCAGTCTACAACTCGATAATCACCACAAGTTCTAATGCCCAGGTGATTAATCCAGGTAATAAAATTACAATTGTGAAGCTGGGAGACGGGAATTTGTTACTTTGGAGCTCCGATTCGACAATAACTTCTTCGTTTGAGCTTCGATTTGGGTAATTCAAAAACGGTTGGAATCCTTATTTCGAGCTCTACACTGTAGATACTTCAAAACAATAAAATTGTCAAATAACAAAATTAAGTTTGTTATCATCAAAATATTAATTAATTAATTAATTAAAATTAATTAATTTGAGATTAAGGGCCAAAAAGCCAACAATTATTACTATTGAAGATCACATTCTACACGTCTTATAAGGATTGGGACCCGAATATGAATCTACTATATCTGTCATCACAGCTAAAACAAATTCAGTGTCAATTCAAGAAATTACATCGTTACTTCTGTCCCATGAAAGCATAATGGAAAAAGATTCAACAGTGCAAGCTACGAAAGACTCTACATTACCATCAGTAAATCTCATGAACAATCATCATAATACTGCCTCACAAAATAATGAGAGTCACAGGTCTCACAATTCACAACATTATGATAATAGACAATATGCAGAAAATAACAGAGGACGTGGAAGGAACAACAGAGGAGGAGGAAGACTGGTATCAAAGAAATATGATACAATGTCAGATCTGCCATAAGTTTGGCCATACAGCTGATCGATGCTACTTTCGAGTACCAAATCAGTCTCATTCTGGAAATGGTAATAATAACAGATAGCAGTATTCCAATGGCTATCCTCAACAACAAAACATGGCAGCTGTGCTAATGACTCCTGACCTGAAAAAAGATACCAATTGGTATCCGGATTCAGGTGCGACAAATCATGTCACCAATGACATGAACAATATCTCAAATGGAAAAGAATTCACGGATGGCCAGCAGATTCATACAGCCAACGGGGCAGGTTTGTCTATAACCCATTCAGGCTCTTCTTCCTTTATCACGCATTCTAATCATATCTTCTATCTACATAATCTCCTACACGTTCCGTCTGTGACCAAAAACCTACTTAGTGTTAGCCAATTTGCAAAAAAAACAAAGTTTATTTTGAATTTCACCCAACTTTTTGTCTTGTCAAGGACCAAGCATCTGGTAAAATTCTACTCCAAGGAAATCTTCCCTCCATGAATGTATTCCCAATGTTCACATTAATAAAAAGCACTCGTTTTGTTATGCATATCCTATTGGCAAAAGCCATTGTCTACCTTTTTCTCATTCTCAAACTATATATACTGCACCTCTGCAACTCATAGTCTCGGACTTATGGGGACCAGCCTTTAAAACCTCCCGAAACAATTACAAATACTATATATCCTTCATTGATGCCTTCACCAAATATACTTGGATTTATTTTCTTGAAAATAAGTCTCAAGCCTTTTCAGCCTTTATTCAATTTAAAACCTTGATTGAAAAACGTCTTTAACTCTCACATCTTAACTTTTCAATCTGATGGTGGCGGGGAGTTCCAAACCTTTACCAAATATCTCAAGTCAAATGGAGTTGAACATCGAATCTCTTGCCCACATACTTCCCAACAAAATTGGGATTGCAGAATGCAAACATCGTCATATCGTTGAAGTTGGTCTAACTTTGCTTTCCCAAGCCTCTATGCCTATAGACTTATGGGATGATGGAGTTGAACATCGAATCTCTTGCCCACATACTTCCCAACAAAATGGGATTGCAAAACGCAAGCATCGTCATATCGTTGAAGTTGGTCTAACTTTGCTTTCTCAAGCCTCTATGCCTATAGACTTATGGGATGATGCATTCTCAACGGCAGTTTATCTCATAAATAGACTATCATCACCAACACTTGAATGGAATAGTCCTATGGAGAAACTCCTACATCAAAAACCCTCATACTCTTTCCTCAAAACTTTTGGTTGCTTATGTTTCCCCTGTATTCGACCCTATAACAATTACAAACTTCAACCTCGTTCTATTCCATGTATATTCCTTGGGTACAGTAACGTCCATAAAGGCTACAAATGTCTCTCTCTTAATAGTCATCTCTACATATCACGAAATGTTATCTTTAATGAAACGAAGTTTCCTTTCAAATCATGCCAATCCATTTCCTTAACTTCTCACAAATCCACATCAGTCCAAAATCATCTACCTATACTCTCTCCCTTACCCACTTTACCTACGTCACCTATAACTCATTCTACCTATTCCAATCTACCTCAGGCTCATACTTCTCCATCACCTATCCTATCAAACAATATGTCACCAACTGTACCTAATCCAACACTGTCTCACCCTGCATCTCCTATATCCTCACCACCTAATCAAAACCCACATTCCTCTTTGTTTTCCACACCTTCCACTCTTTCCCCAACACTTAGTCCTGATCCTATTTCCATATGTCCAAACCCAACTACAACTTTCCCTAACCATGCCCCGATGTCTGCACCTAATTCAATATCTAATGCTGGCACATCTGTGAATACTCATACTATGATAACCCGTGCAAAGAATGGAATTTTTAAACCTCGAATCTATCTCACTGACTACAAAGAGGTTGAAACAACTTCTGCTAAAGAAGCTATGAAGCATAGTCATTGGCGCACAGCTATGGAGGAAGAGTATTCAGCATTAACGAAGAATGAAACTTGGGATCTAATACCTCCATCTACGGAGCAAAAAGTGGTTGGGTATAAATGGGTATTCAAGATAAAAAGGAATACAGATGGGTCTATATCAAGGTATAAGGCACGCCTAGTTGTAAAAGGATTCCATCAAACTGCTGACATAGACTATTTTGAAACATTTAACCCTGTGGTTAAACCAATTACAATCAGAGTGTTATTAACTCTAACCCTAGCACATGGATGGACACTAAGACAGATTGACATTAACAATGCGTTCTTGCACGGTCTCCTTAGTGAAACTGTTCTCATGGAACAACCAACGGGCTTTGTTCAACAACATTCGAAACATCATGTCTGCAAACTCCGTAAGGCACTATATGGTCTAAAACAAGCCCCTCGAGCTTGGTTCATATTAGCGAGTAAATGCTTATTTTATTATTTTTTTAGGAAAAATATTTATTATTATAATGCTAAAACAATTTGTCATTTAACAATACCTCATTTATAGTTTCACGTGGTAAGAATTTAATGGAGATTATTGTACCGTAAGGTTCGGTCAAGTTTAAGAATGATGTAATTTAAAAAACAAAAATGATGTAGATTTGAAAGTAATAATAAAATAAATATAATTTAAATTAAAAAATACAAAATTAAATTATACATTCAAATGATTGACGAGTCAAATAAAAATAACATAAAATATAGGAGGTTGTAGCTTTTCTTAGACTTAGATGTGAAAAATTTTATACAATTTTCGCTTCCTTTTTTGCTTTTCTAAATTATAACGAAAAAACACAATGTACTCCGTCCTCCCGGCAAAAAACCCATAAACCTTCCAAAAACCCCTTCCAAAACGTTTCAGAGCTCTCCCAAATTAGCTTATGCTCTCGTTCACACACAGACTCCGGACCTTGTCCTCATCTCCATGCTCCAAATCTCATCTTCTTCGATCCCTCCGGACGGACGCCGGACCGCCCAGGCGCCGGTCGAAGCCGGCGGCATTTGCTGCAAAGAACGCGGACGAGAAGTCAGAGTGGTGGGCAGTTGACGGCGAAATGCACGAAATTGGCGAAAATGTGCCGCCTCGCGAGCGCTTCGTTATACCCAGAGAAAATATCCCCAATCGGCGCCGGAAGCAGCTCAGGGAACAGTTCATGCGCCGGACTCGCCTCGTTCTCAAGGAATCTGTTAGCCTCTTTTCTTCTTATTCTTTTGTTCTTTCTTCCCCTGCCTTTGATTGGACAACTTTTGGATATGACATATGTTATGATTTCCCTTGGGATTAATCTTGATTACTTTTCTCTTGAATTGGGTATGAAGGAGAAACTAGGTTGAGGTTCTTATAACTATTAGTTATTGATTTGATGTTAGAGCACCAACAAGTAAATATTGGAGATTGTTATTAGGATATTACTAGTAGCATAATGCGATTATCGGAGTAGAGTGGCTATACATAGAGAGAGTTAGAGAGATGGAGGATAGGCAAAATTTTGGAAAGCAGTTTTCTCTGGGAGAGTCCAGGGCTTCTCGAAGTGCTTGATGTTGTGTTTTGTAATTTTCATTTCACCCTAAAAATAGGATAAGTTTTATCGATAGTCATTTGGTCCTCCTAAAAAGATCTACTAAATTCATCGAGTTGTCCCAAAGAATCAAAGAAAGGTCGATTTCAGTGTTGTTTTCTTACTTCTATTCTCAATGTCGTCAATCCTTGGGTGTTTGAAGGAGCATGAGCCTTGGTGCAAAAAGTACATGGAGCTTTATCAGGAGCTTAGAGAAAACTGGGAGAGGCTGTACTGGGACGAGGGATACTCTAAAAAACTTGCCCAGGAACATGCAAATTATGAGTCTGCTGAAGATGAGGATTTCTCCCCTTATAGGTTGGATTTTTTTGTGATTTCATGTATGTTTGTTTTGTATGGCTGGTGAAATGATCTTCAATTAAAAGCATTGTTCTTCGTGAATTGAATGGTCGTAACCTCTATTCATCTTTCATGATTTAAAATACGGTTCAATTTTCTATTCTTTTAAGTTTGCATCAGAGTATATCTGTAATGTGACCGTAGTATCTTAGTTTCATGGCTTTTTCTCGTGTTTCAGGAATAGGCAATCCAGTGTTGATCAAAGTAAGGTAAATTTTCTTTGTTAATTTTTTTAACATGTTTTATTTCAAAGCTTGTTATATTCTGAGTTTTTGTAGACGAAGCAAGTATTGTAGAAGTTGATTTGCTATTTTAACTCTCAAGAGTCAAGACTTGTCATTTCAAGTATGACTTCTGTAATGCTGTATTTGGTACAATTTTGTTAATCCAGAGAATGCACGAGGATTGTGAGGTGAACTTAATAGAAAATTAATAACCTTGTGAATTTGCTTCCCTTAATGAAGAACAAAAATGCAGTTGCTTATCCTTGATCCTTCATTGTGATATTGATGATTTATAGAGGAGCAATATTTGGTCTAAAAGTAAGACTAGGAAAAACATTAGTCATCTCATGGTTTTATCTTCTTCACTAGTGTTTATTATGTCACACATTGCACAAACTCCGAATATGGGTTTTGCACATGCTTGTGGTTGTATCACTTTGAAGTTACAATGTCGTTCCAGCATTGTCCTTATAGAAAGTCAAATATTTTTCCTCCTTTTCATGCACTTCAAATTAAGTATTTTTTACGAGTTAAATGATTTTGGAAAATGGTTTGATTCTTTTAACTCTCCTCCCCTATCTTTCCCTCTCTCCCCACTCATGGACTCCCTTTTGAGTCCAAGCATGCTTAATGAATTAAGGATTTGATGGTAACTTGGCAACCTTATTTCTGTTAGGGACAACCGGACCTCTCCATGTTTCACAATAGTGTGATATTGTCTGCTTTAATTTGAAATCCTCATTACTCTGTTTTTGGTTCACCCAAAAGGCTTCATACCAATGGAGATTTTGTCTCTCACTTACATATTTATTATCTTCTCCTCCTAACCGATATGGGACTTTGGTCGCATCCCCAATAGTTTCATCAAAAGTTTTTAAGAAATAACAATGTTAGTGAGGAAAGCTTCTTGAAGCTGCAAAAGATCACAATTCACAAATAAAAGAGGTTTCTTTGCTCCTATGGACATTGTTCTATAGAGGTACGAATACAGCATATAGAATTCAAAAGAAACTCCCCCACTTGGCGCTCTCCCCGACAATCTGCAATTTATGTTTGAGGAACTCAGAGAATGTGGACCATCTCTTTATGCACTGTACCTTCGCGTTCACAGCTTGGAATTATGTGGCTTCTATATTAGACTTATCCTTTTGTTTCCCTTAGCATATCGAAGATTTCATTTATGAAGGTTTTGGTGGTAAAGCACTCAAAGGAAAAGCTTTTATCATATGGAATTGTGCCGCTAGGGCGGTCCTTTGGCTTCTTTGGAAAGAAAGGAATAGTCGGATTTTTGAGGACAAAATGGTCTTGATAGATTATTTTTTTGTGAATATCAAGCATACGGCTTCTTGGTGGGCTTCTACACACAAAAAGGCTTTTTGTAATTACAGTTTTTTTTTTATTATGCAAGATTGGAAAGCTGTGATTGTATAGTCCTTTGGGGAGGGTTTTCTCTACCCTCCGCCTTTAGGTTGTTTTGGCCCTTTTTGGGTGTTTTCTCTAATATACCCTTTTTGTCTCTTATAAAAAAAAAGAGGTTTCTTTGCGAAAATCACAGAAGTTTAGAACGATGGAAAGAAGAGCAATATGATAGCTTCATGGAGGGTAGATCTGACATTTCAGGGGTTGGAAAGCTTTCACACTTTTAGTCAATGAGTTCTTGATCCTAGGAAGTAGGAAGGTGGAGTCAGACAAAGGAGAAAAATCTTATTGGAAGCATTTACCATTTAACGAAGTGTCCTCACTCCTAGGAGAAGTAAAGCTCTAGTTCAAATGTCATGCAACTAATACAAACCTTGCAGAGGTGGCTTCTACTGATAAGAATTTTGGTGGTGGCAAGATTATACTTTCTCAATGGATGGATCAAAATCCTAACTATTTTCACCCTGACAAAGGCCTTTAATGCCCAAATCTTAATGAAGCTCAATTAATTAGTTTTAATATGGGGTGGTGGTTTTAATGATTGACAAGATGTTTCTGGTGGTTTTAATGATTGATTTGATCTTTGAAGCTGGAGACATTTTCTGTTTCAGCTGTTGAAAAGTCTTTGAGATGGTTAAGTGTTTGATATTGCTGTTTTGGATTATTTCGCTAGGTATATAGGGGGTTTTTTAAATCTAGTTGTTTGGGTAAAATGGTTCGTTTGGTTGCTTTTGGATCTTTTAGTTGGTTTAGACCATTAGGACCTTGACCTTAGTGTCCCATGCTCATTTCACTGAAATTTGGGACGCGGATACGTGGCTTGCTTTTTTTTTCTTTTTTTTTTTATAAGAAAACCTTTCATTAGAAAGAAAAAGAGCAATACAGCCAAAGGGCAGGGGGATGAGGAGACCCCCTCCCGAAACAACTAAACAAAAGCTCTCAAATCACAAATAATCGGAGAGAGGCTGAAGTTACAAAAGAATCTTCTATGTCTATGGCACCACCAAGGGAGGTGAGTTTTACACTGTCACAAAAAGAGACAAAAGAAGAAGACCTATCATAAAAAATCCTATGATTCCTTTCAAGCCAAATATTTCAAAGTAGAGCTCTAGCTATATACAAGACCACAGAACCTTCCATCTCCCTTTGAGCTGCCACCATTGAAGAGTCTGCCTTTTGAACAATATACCTTTCATAAGGTTTACTTTCATATGTCTTTGGGATTCTATTAGCAACTCTTTTGAGTGAACTTATGATACTTGAGTAGATAGGAGGGATACATGAATGAATAGACACTACATCCAAATGGGAGAGATCCTGAGATCATGCAAGCATGGTTAATAAAGGTTTAAAAGAATCGATATAACTACCTATACCAATAAGGTGCACCTTCCTTTTTGGTTTTTTAATAAAAAAACTCCAAAGTTAAGCGTGTTTGGTTTGAAGCAATCTTGGGTTGGGTGACTTCCTAAGGGATTTTCCTAAGAAACATGTGAGTGAAGACAAATCATGTTAAAAAGGACTCGTGTTGGTTTGTAGGGACAATCTTCACTCTTCCCAACAGCTCAGGTTAAGAAGGTGGCGCAACCTTGTTAAAAGGACTCGTGTTGGGTTGGGTGACTTCCTAGGGATTTTCCTAGAAAGCATGTGAATGAGGACAAAACATCTTAAAAGGACTCATGTTGGTCTGCAAGGACAATCTTCTCTCTTCCAAGAAGCTCAGGTTAAGAAGGTGGTGCAACCAGGTGGAGGGGAATGCCAGGGCCACTAGGTGCCAAATCCAAATTTCAAATTATAGTTCGAATTTTGGGCCTAGAGCATTACAGAACTATTCCTTATGAGTGCATAAACTAGCTTATCATGTTCCATGCTCATAATCCTTCCGACTAATCTATGTTATTGTTGCTTACCCTTTCTCTTTTGTTGCTTGCAATTTCAAATTATGTTTTACAGGAGTTCTGTAATATATCTAGAAAGTAATTTAAAGTTTCAGAAATTTACTTAGAGTTTTTTCTTTAAAATAGTTAATCTGGAATATCAATCTGTTATTCCCAAAACTGTGATGACCTCCCTCCTCTCCCCACCCCAACCCACCTCCGGCCACCCTCAACCCCCCCTCATGACTTTCCTTTCCCACCAATGACCCCTGCAGCACTCCTCTGACCTACATCCCTGCAAGCTCACTCAAGATGTCCCGGCTGAAAATTGAAAACAAGGTCTTCACCTGTGATTTCGACAAGAAGAAACAAGGACGATGGCTTCGAATCACAGAGAAGCATCAAAGCAGATTTTTCGTCCTCTCTATAGAAGAAGTAGTGGGAGTTTGGCTGATAGACATGATCTCCGNAGCACTCCTCTGACCTACATCCCTGCAAGCTCACTCAAGATGTCCCGGCTGAAAATTGAAAACAAGGTCTTCGACTGTGACTTCGACAAGAAGAAACAAGGACGATGGCTTTGAATCACAGAGAAACATCAAAGCAGATTTTTCGTCCTCTCAATAGAAGAAATAGTGGAGTTTGGTTGATAGACATGATCTCCGATCTTCTGCTGACTCCAAATATGCAGAAATTCTTCCGGAATTGCAATGAAGGCTTCATATGGATGCAGAAAACCTCAAACAAATGGGGAAGCTTCTTGGAAATTACCAAGGTGTTCAGTGGAGAAGGGAAGAGAAACCTGGTAGTGCCGGCAGACAGAGAGCACAAAGGGTGGCTGGCTTTTAAGAATTTTCTACTCGACTTTATCAATGGGAAACAAAGCAACATAATGGAGAATAAACCAAAGACGCACCACAAGTTACACCCAAACCGTTCTTTTGCCAAGGTAGTGAAACATAAGAACGTCAATCCACGCCCTGAAAAGAATGAGGAACCCCCTTCCCCCGATAACAAAGTTGAACTCCCCAGCCCAGCCCAGCCCTTAGAACAGAAGTTAGGGCCTTCAACTGGAAGGACACTCTGATCCTCACTTGCCGTGATTTCCATGATGACTGGGGACGTATTCATGAATGTATACAAGAACAAATAGAAGAAACTTTCATTATCAACTCCTTCCGGCCAGACAAAGCCCTCCTTAAATGCCCCTCCGAAGAGATTGCAAATCTGCTGGCCCAAAACAGGGGATGGGTAACCTTTGGTCCTATCACAGCGAAGGTAGAAAGATGGGATCCGTTGAAGTATGGGCGAATAAATGTAGTCCCGTCCTATGGGGGATGGATACGCTTTCGAAACATTCCCCTCCACTTATGGAGCTTAGCCACCTTTAAAGCCATTGGTGATTTTTTTGGGGGTTTCATTGATTACGCTGATTCAAACTCGAGCCTGGTGGATTGTGTAGAAGTGGCAATAAATGTTCAAGGAAATTACTGTGGTTTCATTCCCTCAGAAGTCCAGATCATTGACGAAGATAGGATCTTCATGACACAAGTGTTAACATATCAGAATAGCAATCTCCTGATCGGAAAGGTCGTCGGAATCCATGGAAGTTTCAAACGGGAAAGTGCGAAATGCTTTTACGACGAGAAAGAGGGAACATGGCTTTGTCCGATAGATCGTTGGCGACTT